TCTATCCATAATCTAGCGTGCTTCTTTTATCCCGCAATTATTCACGTCAAGACGAAGTTATTAAAAATTTAGAAAAAAAGAAGATAACTTTATTTTACTTTTATTGATTTTTTTTTTAAACAGGAAATTTTGGTTGCAATGTTGTAGATGTAGATAGTTTAACTCTTTAGGTGCTAGGAGTCATCAGAACATGACCGAACAATGTGGGGAAAGGCACCAATTAATTTGTGTTTAGTACAGAAAGAGTTAAGCCATCAAAGACACAATTGGTTCGCTTTTACGGACAAGCGAGCTAGCCCAGATTTCGTTAGTTTTCAGAAATCTTGATAGGTACCAAAAGTGGCCATTGCCCTACCTATAGGAGACGTTTGGCTTCATTGGTGTGTGTATTTGTTTGGTTATAGAGAAAACTTTCCTTGTCTTTGAAAGAAACAGAACAAGTCCAAAAACTTTATCTTCGATTTTCTCAAAACAGCGTTTTTTGTTTGTGCTTAAAAGCGACGAATTGATCTCAGCTAGGAGGCAGGCTGCTTTGATTGTGCCCTCAGGGAAAACGCGACCCTCTTAACCCTATCTGAACGTCCTGGGGTGATTTCGTACCCCCGGGGTTGTATTCTTCACAATACTTCTAGAACGAAGATCTCTTTGAAACGTTAAGTATTTCTCAAAAAATCATTTTGACAGACTGCTTTGCAAAGCGTATGGATCGGATTAACGAGTAAATTTCCTCTTTGGAAAGTTGTGGCACAGAGTTCCCCACGCCGTATGGATACGATAGTAAAACATGGTGTACGGATAGGGTTAAGTGGTGGCACAGAGTTCCCCAGGTCGTATGGATAAGAAAATAAAACACGACATACGGATAGGGTTAAGTGGTGGCACAGAGTTCCCCACGTCGTATGGATACGATAGTAAAACATGACGCACAGATAGGGTTAACCGTACATTCTAAAACACTGATGATGGGATAATGACGATTATCGTAAACGGAACAGGATAATATATACGCTGATGATTATAAGGGTGTTAGTGAGAATAAAGAAGATTATACCTTGTATTAATTAATAATAGTGATAATGACATTACTAGTAATATTGATTAATATTAATAACAAGGTGAGCAGGTGCTTTTTAGCACGCCACCTAGAGCTTAGGACGTAAATTATCATCGTTATTGCTTTCGATTAGGGCTTGGGTTATCATAATTATTGCTTTCTATTAGAGTTTAGATTATCATGATTATTGCTTTCGATTAGGGATTAATTAGATTGGATTATCATAATTTTTGCTTTCGACTGCTAGAACAGTCGGGACTAATCGATGATATTCTTGCTGTCACTACGACTTTTAAAATAATATATCTGCTAAAGAACAATAAAACAGAAAATAAATAAACTCCCGTTTTAGTTGACCCACTTGGGGGAATGTGTTTTACAATGACGATCATAAAGAAACAAAATATGTGCCATGACGAGGTGGAATCAGGCGCTCGTCAATTTTGGGCATATGGAGTTATTGGGGTTAAAAGCATTTCTATTTTCATCCTATTTCGATTAGACAGAATCCATCCTAGCTGTAGATCGTTGTGAGTTTGTATGTGCGTACGTACGTATGTACGTATGTGTGTATGTGTGTATGTATGTGTGTATGTGTGTGTGGTGCGTGCGTGAATATGTGTGTGCACGCGTATGGAACACTTTGTGCCTTTAAAATTAATTTGTAAATCCATAATATTATGTATCATGTTAAGCGCATCGAACATTGCATAAGTGGATATGCGCTATATAAATGCAATCCATTATCATTATTTTATTGGTGTCATCTTAAAGGCTGTTCATTTGCCTTGATTTTGATGAAGAAAATATCCGTCTATCGTGAATAGATGTTGAGATATTAACGATTGAAGGAGGTAGCGTCACCTGGTGTCAGAGGTATTATTAGTAAGAAAAGTGTTTGGTTTTGTATGGGTTTTTTTTTTTTCATTTCCAAAC